AAATGAACTAGCTATGAACTGTAAATAAACTAGCTGATATTAGGGCGGGAGGTTGTGCAGGCGTAGTGCAATGGAATGTATGGAAGGAAATGTATGTTTAGAAGGCTTGCAAGAACGATCAGAGCAGTTATTGTTCAACTAAGAGCAGTCATTATTCAACTAAGAATGGCTAACCACAATATCCCGCTTCTGTACTCTGCTTGCTTGCACACCTGCACATTGCAAAAGTCTAAAAACCTTTGGAACATTAGACTGGAGGCTGCTCAGTCTCCCCTCCAGAGGGCTGACAGTCCCTGCGCAGGAAATAAAACTTTTTTCTTTTGAACCTGTTGGCAGTCTGAGTTGTTTTCTTTCTGGGAATGGACAGTAGGCTACAACACTACAACTCTTATCACAATCCATACATCAATTGAATCAGGCATGTTTGCACATGTGTTGCCCTCATTCTTTTCTAGACAGTTACTTTCTATTGAGCTCTTGGTATCAGCTCTTTTTTAATTTCCCCCCCACCCTCCTAACCCCCTGATAGATTGTACATTGTTATTATTTTCATCTCACACCACCCGCAATCTCCCTTCCCCCATGTTTTCTGTTGTTCTTCCCCCTGGAGAGGGGTGTATGGTTACGCATCAATCATTGTGATCAATTCCCCCTTTCTCCCTTCTCCCCCTCTTCCCCTTACCCTTCTGGTATCACTATTGTCACTCCTGTTCCTGGATTCTATGTGTTGTGAGCTCCCATCCCTCTCTATACCTGTGTACATGCTCCGGTGTAGTCTGAATTGAGAAGCAGCACTGTTTATTTTAAATAATTTCTTTGGATAGCAGATAACACACACCTGGTCCATTAGCAACACAAGTAGAAACTGCAAGGGGTGTGTGGGTGTGGCGGGGGTGGGGGTGGGGGGGTGGGGGGAATGGTTTACAAAGCACAGGCTGGGAGTTTGGGCTTGAGACAAAGCCAAAAAGCTTCAGGGCTAAGAAGTCACTTCCAGCTGCCATGACCTCGCATTCACCAACTGTGCCATGACTCTAGACCAGTGGTCCTTAAATTTTTTAAACGGGGCCAGTTCACTGTCCCTCAGACCCATTGGAGGGCCGGACTATAGTTAAAAAAAAACCTGTGAACAAATTCCTGTGCACACTGCACATATCTTATTTTGAATTAAAAAACCAAATGGGGTAAAAACACTTGGCAGGCCAGATAAATGTCCTCGGCAGGCCACATGTGGCCCGCAGGCCGTAGTTTGAGGATGCCTGCTCTAGACCCTGGTCAGCATTCTAAGCTGCTCAGATAAACAACCTGCCCTTCTACTAGGCTATTGCTTCATTCCTCCCTCCTAGATCACCTAAATAGGTGGCAGCTACATACTCCACTCCCCTACCACCACTTGGTCACTCCATCATCCAACAAGAACTGGATACACCAGATGTGTATTCTTTTAATATAATTAACCTAAATTATAAAAACACAAGATTCAACCTTACCAGACACCAAAATCATTCCCCCAGCCTTAATTTCCACCCTACCCTGACATCCTATAAGACCACAAGGTAGGAAACCAACACATTACCAGACACTGTCCCCAGATGCCTAAAAGAACTCTCCTCCACACAGTCCTGATTCCCAGCAGGAAAAGGTCTAGACCCCACTGTTCTCTCATTTCTCTGTGTTCTATCATTCCAGGAAAAAAGTTATTAGGACTTTACTCTTTTGCTTTCAATTTACTGTATATACTCATGTATAAGCCGAGTTTTTCATCACATTTTAATGCAGTTTTTGTGGTAAAACTAGGTGCCTCGGCTGATATTCGGGTCAGCTTATACTCAAGCATATA